TAAAAATAAATTTTATTATTTATTACTATATATTATATAAGTACCTATGTATTTATTTCATCAACAGTAAATGCTCGTAATTTCAAAAATGATTAACTTTTTTCTAGTATGTTTGTTAGGCACGTGCAATTTATTATATAATATCATTTATTTTCATCCTAATATTTTTCTATCAACCCATATATATTGACATTTATCTTTTGATTTCATAAATCAAAACTACAACAGTAACTAATTTAAGAGGTATTTTCTATTTTTCTAGGAAAACAGTTGATGTACAAAATTACGTTAAATATTGAATAACTTATATAAGCATTTAAAAAATAAGCCTGTTGTAGTTCAATACACATTTTGATCGCTACTCTTAAGCACCCTTAATATTTATAAATGATATTTAGTGTGTATGACTTTTATATACCGTACCCGTCCAATTCTGCGGTTTCTATAAAACACAGACCACTTGGCTCGCTCGTAGACAGCAATAACACGTCGGCAGCCACGAACTGTCCGTCTTCCATTAAAATCACGTCCCCCACATGCACGTCTTTCCATTTCACGTTCACTACATGGCCGTTTCTGACAGTCTTCGATATGCGGTTGTTCACCTGATCGTCGCTGACATGCCTTTGCTACAGATAACACAATTAACTTCATATTATTAAACTTAGCGTGGAATTAGAAGTCACATTAAGTGAACGCTCCTATTTTACAGTTTTTTAAAGACCCTAGTGCATTCAATTAACAGCCTTGTTAATGTAATATCTACAAAACGAAAAATTAAGTAATACATCAAACATTTATGATACCCCGAGACCTACAATACATTATAGTGTTACAAGTCAATACATACATAGTCGTCGTAGGCGTCTTTGATGGCACTGATCGTTAGCACTCCAACCAGTGGTATTGAAGTGGTAATGGGTGTCAATGATGATATAATCGAAATCATCTGCAGCATCATTAAGCACAGGAAGTAGAAATTGGCTAGCCTCTGAAATTGTTCGAATAAATTCAGAGGCAGGAACGTCAACAAGCTGTATTTCGATGTTTTTATGTAATTTGTCTAGGGAAATRTCCAAGAAAGAAACAATTATTACTCTATGACACATTCATATTATGTCGTTCACTCAGGTATAACGGAGTATTACACATTAATAAATTATGCGACAACAAAATCATGTCTATAAMAACTTACCGCATAGTTGAACTGAGCGTTGTAAGTCGAATCGTTTGCTTTGATTAAGCGTTCTTTTTCTATAATAAAATATATCAATTAATGAAAATAAAAACGGACACAAGTGATATCGATACTTATTTAGGGAATTAAGTCGTATATGATTAGCTGATCTAATAAATGTAATAAATATTTTACGAATCCCAATTGTTAATTACTTATAGATATACTTGGATTTGGAATCATTGTGAGCAAGAAACAAATACGACTAAAACAGCACTTCTAACAAAAATGTTCATACTCATGACTATATTGGCAATTCCAAGCAAACGTAGAGAGCGCTCTTCTCTTATCACAATAGATAATGATATGTAGGTAATAGTCACCATTTTCAAAGTAATTTACAAGGGTTCTAATATAATATATATTGCTTTTAATGATTAAATATGTCTKCTGTAATAGAAATTATTGATATTATGGATTATGTAGGTGATGGTAAACGCCCGTTTGTTGAGGCCTCAGAGATACTAAAATGGAACCATATTATAATAGAGTTTTGTATAAAAGAACAAGCAAAAAATAAACTGATTATTATGGCTTTGTGTTTGCAACCTCTAACATTAATGATCATCCTCATGAAGTTTTAGTCAGAAAAATTATTCATGAAGGTAATGTGAAGGTGTCAGTTTCCTGTTCATGTAAAGCAGGCACGGGGAAGGGTAAGCATGTTGCTGTCGTTATGCTTAAGTTACAGAAGTAATTAAAATGTATTATTTTTTTCAAAATAATTAAAAAATTTATATACCTAATAATAACTAAGTAGGTACCTTATAATATTTATAAAACCTCAATTGACAGTTTGGAGGAATTGAGCTAACAGTGGGAAAAAGTTAGAAGTATTAAAACTGAGATGTATCAAACAATCCCAGTAAAAAAAATGTTGTCATATCCAAAAGCATAATTCTTCATAATCAGAAACTTTACCTGATGTATTACCAAATAATCCAGAAAATTATTATTATTATTATTATTATCCAGAAAATTGTATATGAAACTTTAATTGAAGGTAATATGTTGTTTCCGTCTTACAAACGTACAACATAGTAAATTTGTGTTTAGCAGAATCCATTTTAGTTGCTAGATACTTTACCTAAATATTAAAGTGAATTGAGCTATTAATCTCTAAATTATAAAATCTTAGTGGTAGAACTCAACGTATTAAATTAAGTCCCAATATATCTGATAAGCTTAAGATTCATTCGGATGCACCTCAAGCGGCACATATTTCATCCTTATGCCGGGTTGCACGAATAATAATTACTAAACGTTTAACCAATCAATAGTGAGCTAATGGTCCCTTAAATATGATTTAGTGGTCCATTAAACTTTATTAAACCATTAGATTGATACATTTTCATGCAACCCGGCATAACTGTTTTTATTATTTTTTAATTGGGTAAAATCTCTTTAGTTACAGTAAATGTTTGTATTTGTTGATATTTTAAAATTATATTCAGTAATTCATAATTATTTTTGAGGTATGCTTCATTTCAAATTTATCACCTTGTGGGTTATTCGCAATAGATATCAGTCACCTTCATAATGTTGTCTTCAACCCGTAGTACACGTTTATAATGTAGTTAGTAGCTCTATCCCACGATTAAAGATAGTATGGACTATGGTTGCACAACAAATCTTGAAATGTGTCTACCGAAATAAATCTCTAGTTATTAGTATTAAACAGCTGGAGATTTCAACACTAGCACTTGTATGTTATAGTGACTATAAATGCAGTTACCATTCAAGTTAAATATTAAATTTTTTCCCGGGCTTTTATTATCTGACTCTCATAAATCATACCTAAATCATAATAATAAATGTTATTTAAAGAACTTGAATACCTCTAAGGCTCTAAATCTGGGCCTAAAGCTGATCTGGTTAATAAAAAAAGTAAAGGCTACCTGATCCATCCAAATAATAACATTTTAAAAATATTTAAGTCATTAGAGTTATCATTTACTAAATTTGTTAATGCAACTTATGTTTTTGAAGATGCTTCTGAATATTTTTAAGCCAAAATATAATTTTTGATTTCCCATGCACTGAACATCGAATAGATATACTAATTGATATTTGTTCCTATTGTCTGATCATGAGAATGCGTCAATATAGCTATCAACAGAACCAAAATAACAAAAAAAATTAATAAAACAAAAAAAAAACTATCAAAATTGGTTAAAAAANGGGATTATGGGGGCCCCTTGATGCACGATGACATAGTTTATTTTAAATACTTCGATGCCACTGATAACGCCAACTTCCATTGCGTCAATTCAGCAAATCTATATATAAATATAAAAGRTTTCGAATTATCGTAGGTTTGAATTATTGAGAGTCGACTGTACATGAGTGCACATCTACAAAATGATGCATAAGTCGATTTCGTACAACAAATWCTGGAAATGGAGAATGGTAAACTAGCTATCGATGAATCAACATAATGCATCACATTCCCAACTAATTTCTGTAAAATATCAGCAACAGCCAATGAGTTAAGTGACAAAATTTTCCCAAATCTACCACAAAATTACGGAAATCGTCAGTGGCTAATTGAACGAGCTATATTTATGTAAATACCTACAATCAATAACAATATTCTAAACGAAATTCCAAGTGACACGACAATGACCAGTCCATCGATACCGTAATGAACCAAGACGAAGTATTCAAATATCCAACTGGATTCTTAAATTAACTTGATTTTGCCACCGCACGTTCTAATATTGAAATTTAGCGTGTCCATCATTCTTCTACGAAACATCAATCCACCACGATTTTGCAACGGTGCTAGGCTTTCAATGAAAAGTTGATGAACAACATTATCGAAGCTTCAATTTTAAACGATAAGTTTAAAGGCGAAGATGTCCTGTTGTCACGCATCCCAATGATTCCAAAAGATATGCCTTTTGAATCCAAACATTTGCAGTTTCCGGTGCGACTCGCYTTTGCAATGACCATTAACAAAGAACAAGGACAATCGCTACAAGTGTATGGTCTGAATGTCTGAATTTGGAAAATCAATTCTTCTCACATGGACAGCTGTATGTGGCATGCTCACGTGTCGGAAAACGTTCCGATTTATTTGTGTACGCACCAGAAGGAAGAACAAAAAATATTATGTATCCAAATGCATTTCAATGAATATCATTCAATTGAATACTTGAATTGTCAGACTTTTCTCAATAAAACGAATAAAATTATAAAATAATAAACTAAATTAATTATCAGTGTAAAAATATTATTTAGTAGATTTTAACTATTATCTAACTATATATGTATAAAACAATACTGCAAACATGATCACAGGTAACGGATTTAACACACAGTTTGAAACATTTAAGAAGTAGGCTTTTTAACGGGMTACGAAGTTCACGGGTTCATCTAGTATTTATATAAAAATAAATTTTATTATTTATTACTATATATTATATAAGTACCTATGTATTTATTTCATCAACAGTAAATGCTCGTAATTTCAAAAATGATTAACTTTTTTCTAGTATGTTTGTTAGGCACGTGCAATTTATTATATAATATCATTTATTTTCATCCTAATATTTTTCTATCAACCCATATATATTGACATTTATCTTTTGATTTCATAAATCAAAACTACAACAGTAACTAATTTAAGAGGTATTTTCTATTTTTCTAGGAAAACAGTTGATGTACAAAATTACGTTAAATATTGAATAACTTATATAAGCATTTAAAAAATAAGCCTGTTGTAGTTCAATACACATTTTGATCGCTACTCTTAAGCACCCTTAATATTTATAAATGATATTTAGTGTGTATGACTTTTATATACCGTACCCGTCCAATTCTGCGGTTTCTATAAAACACAGACCACTTGGCTCGCTCGTAGACAGCAATAACACGTCGGCAGCCACGAACTGTCCGTCTTCCATTAAAATCACGTCCCCCACATGCACGTCTTTCCATTTCACGTTCACTACATGGCCGTTTCTGACAGTCTTCGATATGCGGTTGTTCACCTGATCGTCGCTGACATGCCTTTGCTACAGATAACACAATTAACTTCATATTATTAAACTTAGCGTGGAATTAGAAGTCACATTAAGTGAACGCTCCTATTTTACAGTTTTTTAAAGACCCTAGTGCATTCAATTAACAGCCTTGTTAATGTAATATCTACAAAACGAAAAATTAAGTAATACATCAAACATTTATGATACCCCGAGACCTACAATACATTATAGTGTTACAAGTCAATACATACATAGTCGTCGTAGGCGTCTTTGATGGCACTGATCGTTAGCACTCCAACCAGTGGTATTGAAGTGGTAATGGGTGTCAATGATGATATAATCGAAATCATCTGCAGCATCATTAAGCACAGGAAGTAGAAATTGGCTAGCCTCTGAAATTGTTCGAATAAATTCAGAGGCAGGAACGTCAACAAGCTGTATTTCGATGTTTTTATGTAATTTGTCTAGGGAAATRTCCAAGAAAGAAACAATTATTACTCTATGACACATTCATATTATGTCGTTCACTCAGGTATAACGGAGTATTACACATTAATAAATTATGCGACAACAAAATCATGTCTATAAMAACTTACCGCATAGTTGAACTGAGCGTTGTAAGTCGAATCGTTTGCTTTGATTAAGCGTTCTTTTTCTATAATAAAATATATCAATTAATGAAAATAAAAACGGACACAAGTGATATCGATACTTATTTAGGGAATTAAGTCGTATATGATTAGCTGATCTAATAAATGTAATAAATATTTTACGAATCCCAATTGTTAATTACTTATAGATATACTTGGATTTGGAATCATTGTGAGCAAGAAACAAATACGACTAAAACAGCACTTCTAACAAAAATGTTCATACTCATGACTATATTGGCAATTCCAAGCAAACGTAGAGAGCGCTCTTCTCTTATCACAATAGATAATGATATGTAGGTAATAGTCACCATTTTCAAAGTAATTTACAAGGGTTCTAATATAATATATATTGCTTTTAATGATTAAATATGTCTKCTGTAATAGAAATTATTGATATTATGGATTATGTAGGTGATGGTAAACGCCCGTTTGTTGAGGCCTCAGAGATACTAAAATGGAACCATATTATAATAGAGTTTTGTATAAAAGAACAAGCAAAAAATAAACTGATTATTATGGCTTTGTGTTTGCAACCTCTAACATTAATGATCATCCTCATGAAGTTTTAGTCAGAAAAATTATTCATGAAGGTAATGTGAAGGTGTCAGTTTCCTGTTCATGTAAAGCAGGCACGGGGAAGGGTAAGCATGTTGCTGTCGTTATGCTTAAGTTACAGAAGTAATTAAAATGTATTATTTTTTTCAAAATAAT